TTCGAGAGAACGTGCGCAAGAGTGATGTGGAACGCAAGGATTCGCTTGGGCGTGTCCCCCTACAGGCGGATTGTGGACGAAAAATAAAAATACCCCCCAAAATGCAGTCAAAAATCGTCCCCAGACATTTTTTCGTTTTTGTTTTTGTTTGATTCTTTTACAAAAACAAAGAATGTTTGAATCTGCCTCCTGTAGAGGGACAAGCCCGACTTAACTCAAGGAGCGCTGTGCTGGGCCTGGCGGCGAGAAAGCACATGGCTGAATTCACGTGGGCGCTGGCCGACTGTTGTCGACTGGGTACGTTGTCGGTCGGCATGTCTTGGCACCACGAAGGTGCCGCCCCACAAGCAGCGGATCACGATCGCAACCACGGCCATGACCAGCACCACCTTCGCCCGAGGTGGCTGCCGGATCCATCACGCGCGCACGGTCCCACCCTACTTCTGCAACGCCGGGGGCCCGAATGATCAAGCCAGCGTATCCCAGTCGACCTGCCAGGACAGCAGTCAAAAACAGGCGAACTCGAAGAGAGCAACTCAGAAGCCAGGCCGTCGGCACCCTCAAGGCCACCTGGCAGAAAGCTGGGGAAACACATGGCTGAATTCACACGGGCGCTGGTCGAACCACCAGTCGGAGTCGACCATGATCATTGGGAATGTTGTCGATCGGCATTTCTTGGCACGCCCGCAGTAGATTCGGAAACCACGGGTGCGATGCCCGACGGCAAGTGTTGCACAAGACCGACAGCGGACGCTATGGGTCGGCGGCGAGCGAGGGGGGGGGCGAGCGAGGGGGGCAAGTTTCGGGTTTGAGGTGTTCGGACGTTCTCTGGCGTTTTCGTCGGTTCTCGGCGGTGTTCCACCCTCGGGATGCGTTCCAGCGACTGCGCCTCGCCGAAGGCGTTCCGGGGCTGCCTGGATCGTCCCGAACGCCCGCTGGAGACCCGAGGTGTGACCCAGAAACCAAACTGAACGGCGAGCGAGGGAGGAAAGTGATAAGGAGAAGGCCTTCTCAGAAGCCCTCGCGCCTGCTGAAGAGTTTCTGTGTCAGAGGGCCAGGGGACTTCCAAGCCCTCTGAGAGGGCCCGTCCCTTCTCACTTCCCACCCTCGCTCGCCGCCGATGGGCGGCACTATGTGCACAACGTCTTCGTGTGCGCGCCGGGCGGGAGCCCCTGGGAGCAGAAACAGGACGAAAGCACAAGAGTCGCAGACAGTCAGACAACACAAGGTGCGCTCGGGACTGGTTTCCTCTCAAAGCGGCCGACAGTCTCCTAAACATCGGCGAAAACCCTGCCAGAGGGTTCTGGGAAGCTCTTCGGAGGGCTTCGGCCAAGTCTTCGAATTTTTTTCTTGGGGGGGGAAGCCAGTGCCTGGCGAACCCTGGGCTCTCTGAGCGGGCATGCCGAAGGGCTCCCGTACACGCCGGTCACGAACTGCCCCGGGAGGAACAGCACGCTGACCACGCTCAAGACATCGGCTCGCCCCCCGCTCGCCAAGGGAGCAGGTGGGCCGTGAGATGGCGGCAGACCTGCCAATTGCCAAAGCAGCCCAGAAGCTCCCAAGATTTACGCCGGCTTCGAGGATATCTCGCGAAACATGTGCAGTGATGATGATGGTGATGCTGCTGGTGCTGATGATGCTGCTGATGATGATGCTGATGATGGTTGATGATGGGTGATGATGATGAGGATTATGATGATGAGGAGGAGGAGGAGGGAGGAGGAGGAGACGGAGGAGGAGGAGGAGGTGGAGGAGGAGGAGGGAGGAGGAGGAGGAGGAGGATTGGCAGGAGCATGGACCAGTGTAACCCAAGGCGCATCAACGATGTCGCAATATACCCTCCCTCCGAATTTTCAGCTGCCCACCGTTTCCAGAATGCTTCTGACGAGCCCCACCAGCCCTCTGGACGTAGGAGGTTCAGAACATAAACTCTTTCGCCCTCCCTTCTTCTCCTTCGGGGAGGGTCTTGCCATCCCCTACCCAAAGTCTAGAAGTGTCGCGAGGTGTTTGGGCCCAAGATGGGCCAGGTAGCCCAAGGTGATCTCCGAGATGGCGCAATATGGTCCAAATTTGCTCAAGATGGCCTCCAATACGGCTCTCAGAGGCCCTCATATAACTCGAGATGACCAGGGAGCCTCCCAAATAGGTCAGCCGTTTTCTGGGAGCCGACATGGCGCCATGAATTGACCGCCCTCCCTTCCTCGATTGATGGCCTCAGTAACTGGCCGTGGAGGCCACCGAAAAGTCCCGAGACGGCCCCAAGAGAGCCCTACAGGCCTCCTCCTCCTCCTCCTCCTCCTCCTCCTCCTCCTCCTCCTCCTCCTCCTCCTCCTCCTCCTCCTCCTCCCCCTCCTCCTCCTCCTCCTCCTCCTCCTCCTCCTCCAGCAACGCCCTGAGAGAGCTTCTGAGGGAGCCTGGAGGAGGCTCTGGGGAAGGGGGCTCCTTTGTGGTTTGGGTGCCCCTTAGGTGGAAAAACCACAGGCGCCCCCGGCGCCCGGCTTCGCGCACGTGAGACGTACAGTCCCGTGGCCACCTCCTGAACAGTAATCCCTCTGGAAGCCGGTGGCCTCCTGAAGAGCTGTTGCCAACTACTTGACCCTGAACCACCTGGAGTAAACAGGCGCTCCTGGATAACAACAAATGTGAACTGCTCCGCACTAGTCTCTGCGCGATTCATCCGGCAAAGTGGCGGAAGCCCCGTGTCTAAAGAGTCTGGTTCATCTTTTTGTCTCGGTACGACTCGGAATCCGCTTTCACAGTCCTGCACATGTCCTGGCGTCGGGTGGAGCTTGGGAGGAAAACGTATCGAGCAACCACAAGCCAACTGGCACGCATGATACGTTCATGTTTCAGGCTTTCTTCTTGGGTTGCTGCACTTTGTGGTGCCATGCCCGCATGGTTCAATTTCTGCTACCCTGGCCTCCCCCCTCAATCAGTATGTTGATCGGGTAGAAACTAAGGGAACAAGCTCCCTCTGACGCTTGATGTGCCAGAATTTCCAGCCAATCAACAGAAGTAAGGGATGCGAGATAATGCGCTAATGCAGCGGGGGCGTCGAAGGCATGCGACGCAAGGGCACGTCCGCGAGCTGGTCAATATCTTCCAGCATCGCGGTGATGCCGTCCTCGACGTCCTCAGAGGGCAGACTGCAAACGGGGGCGTGTGCCAACCAGCACATGCCAGCAGCTCGTCTGTTCCTGGGGAGGTGTCGCCCTGGCGCCGCCTCCTCCTCCTCCTCGTCCCTCCTCCTCCTCCTCCCCCTCCTCCTCCTCCTCCCTCCTCCTCCTCTCCTCCTCCTCCTCCTCCTCCTCCTCCTCCTCCCTCCTCCTCCTCCTCCTCCTCCTCTCCTCCTCCTCCTCTCCTCCTCCTCCTCCTCCTCCTCCTCCTCCTCCTCCTCCTTCATGTCTCTGTTGGCCTATGAACGGCGGGCGAGCGAGGGCCTAGCAGGACACGTCGCTCGCTCCTCGAAGTACATCGTCGCGTCGAGGCTCTTGTCGTCCTTCAAGACCTTGAGGACATGGAGCAGCGGGCGTATGGACCTCTTGATGTCGTTCAGCTCCAGCTGGACCTCGAGCGCTCTCGATGCTTCTGCCCAGCAGCACACGCATTGCATGTCTTCTCCCATCAGCCTTTGCCTAACAATCGTGTCAGTGTCTTGTCCCAATATCCACGAGATGAATATTCATTGTATCTTATATCTGGTCTGGGGTGCTTGCTCTTAGTGTGATGCTTCCGCCTCCTCACCTCTCCCGCCTGAACCTTTCGTCAATCATACTGAGACTCACTCACACTCAACCTCACCCATACTCGGATACCCGTCACACACAGACTCACTCAGACTCAGATGCACGCGTACTCGGACTCGCTCATACTCAGTCTCACCTATACTGCGAGTCACTTATGCTCAAACTCACCCACACTCAGACTCACCCATATCCAGACCCACTCGCACTCATATTCGCACTTACTCAAGACCACTCCTACTCAGAATCGCGTTCATCCAGACTCACTCACACTCAGAATACCAGTCATTATCACAATCGGCATCACACTGAGCCATTCCGGGGGGGAGCCTCCAGGGGGTCCGACACGGACATGTTCACTCAGGCAGACGTCCCATTTCGAGGGGATTGACATTGCCGAGCGAGGACTGAAAGAAGTCTTTGTCACGGCGGTGTCTCGAGTATGCTGTCTCAGGGTCTCAGGGGCTCTAGCATGCTGGCAGATGAATATGGCGAGAAGGGCATGAGGCGGGAGGGGATGGAGGAGGCAGAGGAGAAGAGGAGAATGGGGAATGGGAGCAACGCGAGGAGGAGGAGGAGGAGGAGGAGGAGGAGGAGGAGGAGGAGGAGGAGGAGGAGGAGGAGGAGGGGGGGGAGGAGGGAGGAGGAGGAGGAGAGGAGGAGGAGGAGGAGGAGGAGGAGGAGGATGGAGGAGGAAGAGGAGAAGCGGAGAAGCGGAGAAGGGGGGGTAACACAAGGAGAAGGAGTTAGAAGAGGAGGAGGAGGAGGAGGAGGAGGAGGAGGAGGAGGAGGAGGAAGATGGAGGAGGCGGAACCACTTACCCCGCTCGCTGGAACCCCTGAATCGGCACACGGGTGGTATGCTCTCGGCAATCCGTCCTGCTGTAAAAGGCCACTTCCGTCGTCCAACTTCAGCCTTCCGGAGGTGCCCTCGGACTCCTGTGGGTCCCTGGGGCCATCGGGGGATAAGACGCTTCCGTGCGGGGCATCTGCTGCCAAGCTGGTCACGCGTGGCCCTCTTGCCCTATCCATCGGAACACTTGCCTAGTCCTCGTGGGGCCCCTCCTTCCGTGGGGCCGCTGCCCAATGCGCCTGCGGTAAGGGAGTGTCTGTCTGGCCCTCTGAATTCCGATGATGTCGATGACGATGACGATGAGGATGGCGATGATGATGAAGATGACGGTGACGATGGCGATGATCATTGCCATCGTCTTCGTCATATTTTGGAGCTCTGCTGGCACGTCCGGGGCTCGACCGCCGTGAACGAGGCCCAGGGCCGCCAGAACCGCAAAGCATGCGCCCGGAACGCGCTGCGGTTGGGCGCGAGGGCCGCGCGCATGTAGTGCAGCTTCTCCTCCCGCGGGCGGCCGCTGTTTTCTGAGTAGGAACTAATTGTGTCTCTTCAGAATAGGGAAGGGGAGGAGGAGGAGGACAAGGAGGGAGGAGGATGAGAGTTATGAGGGAGAGGGAAGGAGGAGGAAGAGGAGGAGAAGGAGGAGGCGGAGGAGGAGGAGGAGGAGGAGGAGGGGGAGGACCAGTGTAAACCCAACACTCATCAAGCATGTTTGAATAAACCTTGCCTCCAAGCTCCCTCTTCATAGGCCCCTACAATGTTTATTTGCACTGAAGGAACTGTCTCACTGGGAAACAACCGTTTGGAGACCCTGAAGCATGCCAAGACACCGTTCTCGGGACATCAACGCCACGGATCGACCTGACTGTTGCGTCTTGACGGTCCTGAATCGTGCCAGAACGCCAGTCTTGGGACTTCAACATCGCGAAGCAACGTAACTGTTGCACCCTCACGCTCCCGAAACCTTCCAAAACACCATTTCTGGTACGCTGACCAAGGGAATCCGTGAAACCCTTGGAATTCTTCAAAACGAATGTGCGCGGCGCTAAAACGAGAACTGCATTTTGAAAACGGACCGCCCTCAATCCGTGAAGCTCTTGCTTTTTGTAACGAATGTGCGCGGCGCTAAGGCGAGAACCACATTTTGAAAACCGCCCGCCCTCAATCCGTGAAGCTCTTGCAAACTGTTACAATGAATGCGCGCGGAGCTAAGGCGAGAGGCACTTTTTTTAATACCGCCGCCCGCCCTCAATGCGTGAAACTCTTCCAACTTGTTACAAATAATGTGCGCGGCGCTAGAAAGCTAGAACCGCATTTTGAAAACCACCCGCCCTCCATTCGTGAACCTTTCGCCATTTTTGAAGCTTGAGGGTCATGAATGGTGAGGAAGTCTCAGACAAAACGCCCGGCTCGCCCTTTCGACTGGCCTCGGGGTGCCACAGGGAGGAATTATTGATAAGGAGCAAAAAATGGAGGAGGAAGGGGAGGTGGAGGAGGAAGAGGAAGAGGAGAGGGACGATGATGATGATGATGATGATGATGATGATGATGATGATGATGATGATGATGATGAGGATGATGAGGAAGAGGAGGAGGAGGAGGAGGCGGAGGAGGAGGAGGAGGAGGAGGAGGAGGAGTGAGTCGGAGCACGCAGGATGGTCAAATTTCTTCTACATTTTTGCCTCCTTGGGGCCTCTAGAGAGCTCCACGGTGGTATCAATGTAAACTTTCGGAGGATCGCGAAGATCTCTTGGGTCGGCGCCGAACCCCCCTCCCGGCGGCGCCTCCAGCGCTGCCTCTTCGCGCGCGAGGGAACGGGGGTCCGGAGCCGACCCAGCGGATACGCGCCGACCTGCTATTTTTTTGTTGGCTTCTTATCTGATCGCCTCCAGCGGGCAGCCACTGCGGTGGTAGAGGGCGATGCGGTCCGGCCTTGGTATCCAGACCAGCCACGTCTGGGGCAGCTGTGTTCCTCTCGGCTAGTTAATGCAAGAGCGACCCTGGGTGAGAGTGACCTTTGGTGCGCGGCTCGTTGGGGGCATCGGAGGGACCAAGCACAAGCGCGCAAGACGCTACCGTCGCATCGCGTTCGGCGATCGGGGGACACCAATGGGCCTGCACCAGAAGTCACTTCGGCGAATGGTCACTCTTACAGTCGGGGCGTTGACCCAAGGAACCTGAAACACGGAACGAGGCCCCTTTTTTGCCCACAAGTTAACCTTCGACTTCCCATGGAGAACCTCCGGAAAACCGACGGCAAACTGTAGAACAATCGAGGAGCACCGAGCCCCTCCCCAGCGCAAAGGGCTTCCTTCCTCAGCGCCCCGACTGCACGTGCAGTCGATCGTAGCGACGGTCCCTCGGGAAGGGGGGGGGTATCGAAGCCGCCCGGCCCCACACGGGGGGGGGTTAAAGAGGACCCCGGATCTCCCCCCAGTCCCGGCGGGCCCCGCGCCGCCCTTCCCGGCCCCGACGCTCCCCGTGACCCGCCCACGGCATCGGCCCTGCCCCGACCTGGCCAGCCCCGTCGATGCCAGAGCGCGGCACGCTCCAGACGGACGGAAGAGCGCGGAGCGTTCCGCAGGCGGGACGGCCGATCGACCCCCCACCCCACGATCCATCGATCGATCGACCACCGAGTCGGCGCTCTCGTCGAGCCCTGAGAGACCGGGCAGGGCCTGCCGAGCAGAGAGCAGAAGAGGCTCGCACATGCGCTGTCGGAGGTCCGCGAGGACTTCGTCTGGCGAGCGTGGCGCTGGTGCCACCTCCCCCCCCCGTTCCCTGCGCGTGGCGCGTGCTGGGGGATGGGGAGGGAGAGGCCCGACGCCCACACACGACGTCTGCGGGGGCATCAGCTCTTGTGGGTGCTGCTGGAAATCGGCGGCGAGTGAGAGGGGGGACGTGCGAAGGAGAAGGCCCTCTCGCAAGGCGGCGGGACTTCTCAGAAGCCCTCGCGCCTTCCGAGAGGCTCTTCGTGCCCTCGGGGCAGGCTCCGAAAACTTCTCCGAAGGCCAGGGGGCTTCCGAGCCTTCTGAGAAGGCCTTCTCCTCCTCCTTTCCCCCCTCTCGCTCGCCGCCGATTCCTGTTGGTGCTGCTGGAGAGCCATGACCGACAGATCGGGGGTCCGCTGCGGGCCCCCGCGTCCCCGTCCAGTGCCGCTGCTGCTCCACGAACCGCTGCGGGGGGTACTCCACGCGGTCCCAGGTGACCTTTGGAGTCCCGACGCGGTGCGGTGACGGACCGTGCGGTGACCCCGAAGGCCCCCCGAGACCTCACCGCACGGTCCGGCAGCGCACGGCTTTGGGACCTCGGATGCCCCAGTCGCCCGAGACGTCCTCGGAGAACGACCCGAGTCCCAAAACCGTGCGGTGGCCCCGAAGGCCCCACCGACTCTCGCCACCCGGTGTGGTCACCACCCGGTTTGGGGGCCCCAGGTGGCCGCTCGGAGCGCAGCCTCGAGCCCGGGGGGCGGGTCGTGCAGAGGCAGCCCCTGCCCCGAGAGCAGGAAGGCCGCGAACGCGGACTGCTCGAACTCGTACGTGTGCGCGTGGACCCACTGGAGGAGGACAGAAGAACGCAAAAACGGCACGAGGCAAAGGGAGGAGGAGGAGGAGGAGGAGGAGGAGGAGGAGAGGAGGAGGAGGAGGGAGGAGGGGGAGGAGGAGGGGGGGAGGAGGAGGGGGAGGAGGGGAGGGGAGGAGGAGGAGGAGGAGGAGGGGGCGGAGGAGGAGGAGGAGGCGGGAAGACGAGGCAAAGGGAGGAGGAGGAGGAGGAGGAGGAGGTGGAGAAGGAGGAGGAGGAGGAGGAGGAGGAGGAGGAGGAGGAGGAGGAGGAGGAGGAGGAGGAGGAGGAGGAGGAAGGGGTACCGATGCCGCTGCTCGTCCTGGAAAGCACTTGCCGCCGCGGCTGGATCTTCCTCGGCATTCGGGCCTGATCGCGCACCAGGAGAGGTCCGGGCAGCAGCGGCATCGGTAACTGTATTGCGCCCCCAAGAACCTGTCGGAGATCTGCGCGGATGTCCTGGGTCGGCGCTGACGCCCCATTCCCCGCCACCCCTGGTGGCGCCTCCAGCACTCCCCTCCTGGGCGCGCTCCGTGCGCCAGGGTGAAGGGGGCGAGGAAGGACTTCAGCGCCATCCCAAAAACGCCGCGCGGACCTCCGAGGACTAATGCTTATGCCGTTTTTGTTCTTCTTGAAGAGGAACAACAATTCCCGATTGGAACTGCTGGCCCGCATGAACATGAAACACGTTCTGGGTGTGCATGTCGGGTCGTCCACCATCAGCAACATGCCCACGCGCTTGGCCGAGGCTCTTCTATACAACTCGGGCAAGAAATTCTGCATCGGCACTGCGTCGAAATCGATCCAACATGCATCGACCCCTCATAGAAGAAGGCGGAACGGCATACACATAAACTTTCGGAGCTCCGTCCGTTTTTCTTTGGTCGGCGCTGAGCCCTTTCCCTGGCGCGCGGGGAGCACCAGTGCCAGGGGCGGCGCCGCAGGCGCCACCTGGGGGCCCAACGCCGATCCAAGAAATCCGTGCGGAACTGAAACAATTTATGTACTCCGGATTCCATAACAAAAGTGGGGGGGTCACATTCGGGGGGGGGTCTAATTTGAGCTGTCTTGGAGGGTTCGGGGGGGTCTGGGCAAAGGGCCGCCCTTTCATGGATAGTCTGGGGGGTCTAAAACTTCTCGTCTGGGAGGGTTGTGACCCCCTCCCTTTCATTACGAAATCTGGAATATGTGTCGTTCTTTCTTCTTCTCTGGCCTAAGGACAGGAAAGCATGCATCACGAGGAAACGGGCGAGGACCCCACTCCGGCTGGGAGTGCACTCCAGCGGCCGCCCGGCCCGCGTGCAGGCGGCCAGCGTGGCGTTGTCCCCCGCCAGCACGAGCACGGGCAGCGCCAGCGCGGCCAGGTGCTGGGCGTAGTCGGCGAGCAGCGCCGCCATCCCGCCGTAGACCAGCGTGAAGAGGATGGTGCGGGGAAAAGAGACACAACGATACCGCGGCTCCTCCTCCTCCTCCTCCTCCTCCTCCTCCTCCTCCTCCTCCTCCTCCTCGCTTTTGTTGCCTACTCCGGGCGTGCGCTCTGACCAGGGCCTCGAGACGAATCTGGCCGTGGAGACGAGGCCTTGAGCCAGGGAAAACGACCCAGACACGCGAACATGGGGGAAGAACAGGCGGCATGATTAAGCAGGGACTCTCGAAGACTCGGGCGGGCTCCTTGGATCGGCGCTGGGCCCCCCTCCATGGCGCGCGGAGCGCACCAGGGGGTGGCAGCAGAGGCGCCGGCATGGGGGCCCCATTGCCGATCCAAGAAATCCGCACGGGCCTCCAACAATTTATGCTTACGCCAGGTTCGTGTCGTGCCGACTTCGGCGTTGGTTTCTGACACCGCGGGGATCGTTCAACCTGGAACGATCGGCCGTTCCCGAAAGGTCCAACTCGTTCCGCATCGAAAGGTTCTGGGTCGCCCGCGGCGTTCAGAGTTGAGAACGCCGCTGGCGGGGTCGCCGCCAGTCGACACGACACGCACCTGCCGAATGCCGTTGTGTCTTCCTCGAGGGGCGGGGGGCTCCTCCTCCTCCCCCTCCTCCTCCTCCTCCTCCTCCTCCTCCTCCTCCTCCCACGGTGTGCCCGTCCTCCCCCAGATGGTGGCCACGTTGCCGCCTGCTCGTGCCCGCGCTCTGCGGGCCACGTCCCGGAGGGCCTCGTACAGCGGCGGCGCAGCACCGCCGCCGTCGCCCGGTGGCCGCGCGTGCATGGCGGCGAGCTCCTGCCCGCGGACGTCACCGATGATGAGGAGGGGGTTCATGGAGGAGCAGGAGGGGGATGGAGGAGGAGGGGTTGAGGAGGAGGAGGAGGAGGAGGAGGAGGAGGAGGAGGAGGAGGAGGAGGAGGAGGAGGAGGGGGATGGAGGAGGAGGGGTTGAGGAGGAGGAGGAGGAGGAGGAGGGGTTGAGGAGGAGGAGGAGGAGGAGGAGGAGGAGGAGGAGGAGGAGGAGGAGGATGGGGGATGAGGAAAGGAACATGCGGAGGGGAATGATAGAGGGGGAGGTCGATGATGCTGCTGCTGCTGATGATGATGATGGTGGCGGTGATGGTGATGGTGATGATCATGATGATGATGATGATGATGATGATGATGATGATGATGATGATGATGATGATGATGATGATGATGATGATGATGATGATGATAATGAGGATGATGATGATGACGATGATGATGACGATGATGATGATGATGATGATGATGATGATGATGATGATGAATATGTATATGAAGATTCTGCTGATGCTGCTGATGATGCTGCTGTTCCTGCTGCTGATGCTGCTGCTGATAATGATGAGAGGACAAAAGGGTGGGAGAAAATGGAGGGGTGAGCGGGGTGAAGAAGGGGGAACGATGTGGGGGAGATGTGGGAGGAATAGTTGTGAGGCAGGATCGGGAAGGGGGGAGAGGGGATGAGCACCAGAAAAAAAATACGTGAGGACGATGGAGGGGGAGGGAGTTGAGGGGAGGGAGGAAGAGCACGGAGTGAGGGTCCAGCGAGTCAGCTCGAAGGAATAAGCGGGCCTCGACCATTCCCACCCTCCCTCCCATAGCATAAGAATCCGTTCTGGGACAAATTGATACTGGGGCTGCCGCGAGCCCCGTGCCCCACCGAGCAAACGGAAGGCGCTCGCTCGCGCACAGCCCCGCTTCCGACGACTTGGCGAAGGAAACGGAACAATCAAAAAATCATTGCGCGGCGCTTCGGCGAGAGCACAATTCAGCCCTTCCGCGCGCAGCCGAGTTTCCAATGGCACGGGCGAGGGCAAACGTGTGCGCCAAGTCCAGGCGGCAACGCCAGCTTCAAGCGAAGTTTGCGAGGCATTGATGCAATAACGACACTTCGCCCAGCTCGCGCGCTACCCCGCCACCGGCGAGCTGGCGAGCGACAGATTTGCGTCGCGCCCCGCCACGCGCGGCTCTTTTCGCGCCCCCGGGCGTGAGCCAGGACTCGAGCAAAAGAGAGATCAGTGCGACGCGTCCATGCGGAAACGCAACTTCCCGAAACTGAGGCGAGAACGACACTTGGAGAGCGCGCGACGTACGCCATGCCCTGCTCATGCTACGCATCTCTCAACGTCGACGACGAAACATCGATACATAATAAATGCGTTGTCGACGCTGCTGCATGGTCTTTTGATGGGTGGGATTGCACCTCCTTTTTATGCCACCATCGGACGGCGAGGTGGCAAGGTGGAGATGTACGACGCGCTGTTCGACGCTCACTACACCACCTGGCGGTGTGCCAATTGCCACACTGATTTTGGGCGTGTGCCGCCAATTCCGCGCGCCCTCGCTCAGAGCTCGTGTCCGCCTTGCCGCCCCATCTGGTTGAGCTTGACCCGAGACGTTGGCTCGACGTTGCGATCTCACTGCCCTTGGTCGTGTGCGTTGCATTCGCCCTTCCCGTGACGACGTTATGTCGCATGACTTGCCACCGCAGACCCTGGTGTCTCCGCTCCCAGATCAGTGTGTTACTCACTTTTTGTTTGGAGGGGCAAGAGATGGGAGCGGAAAGCAATGCTATACACGGAGCGCCTCAGCCCTGCGAGCGTGGCCGAAATTCCGGCCAAGGAGCGGGAGAACAAGGAAAGCGGGCCTCGCCACGATTACGCCGCTGCTGACTGTAGGCGCCGACTGGAGCGGACAACTCGTGCCCCCCCCAGACCGACGGGCGCGTGCAAAAAGAGCTACCTGTGAGACTCGTTGCCCGGGCGAGGGGCCAGGGAGGAGGAGGGAGGCCCACGAGTCAGAGAGAGCCAAGCCCCCCAAGAACGGCAGTGGCTCTGGACTCCTTGGACGCCTTCCTCTGGAGTCCCGACACGGTGCGGTGAAAGACCGTGCGGTGACCTCGAAATCCCCCAAGACCTCACCGCACGGTCCGTCACCGCACGGTGTTGGGACCCTGGAGGCCCGCGCCGCTCGAGACGTCCTCGGCGAGGGACCCGAGTCCCAAAACCGTGCGGCGACCCCGAGTCCCCACCGGCTCGCCACACGGTGCGGTCACCACCCCGCTTGGGGGCCCCCGACTTCCGCATCCTCCTGCCGTGCAAGCCCGTGCTCTGACACACGCGCGCAGGAACCGCATGCTCTGAGCCTGCTCCGCCGCCCGCGGCGCCTCTTACCCCCCGGCACGCGCCCTGCCTGCTCCTGCGGTGCTGCGTTTCGGCCCCGTGGTGCCCCTCGGCTGCCTCCGACCGCAGCGTGGGTCCGCGCCGCTGCGGCCAAAGAAAGCAAAGGAAAAAGCTCTGTACAACTTCAGATAAGGGGACGACGATGAGGCAAACCCTCCTCTCCTCCTCCTCCTCCTCCTCCTCCTCCTCCTCCTCCTCCTCCTCCTCCTCCTCCTCCTCTCTCCTCCTCCTCCTCCTCCTCCTCCTCCTCCTCCTCCCCTCCTCCTCCCTCTCCTCCTCCTCCCTCCTCCCTCCTCCCTCCTCCCTCCTCCCTCCTCCCTCCTCCCTCCTCCCTCCTCCCTCCTCCCTCCCCCCTACGAGGGTAATGAGAGAGCGCGTCAGTTCGGACGAGGTGCTCGTCCGTGGGCGGAGGGCCGAGCCAGACCTGGCGGCCGGTGCAGGCCGTGGCGTCGCGAGGCCCAGATCCTGCCACCGACGGCGCGGTCACGGCCTGCGGGGGAGCAGGAGGAGGAGCTAGAGATGGAGGAGGAGGAGGAGGAGGAGGAGGAGGAGGAGGAGGAGGAGGAGGAGGAGGAGGAGGAGGAGGCGGAGTAGGAGGAGGAGGGGAGGAGGAGGAGGAGGAGGAGGAGGAGGAGGAGGCGGAGGAGGAGGAGGAGGAGGAGGAGGAGGAGGAGGAGGAGGGAGGAGGGAGGAGGGGGAGGAAGAGTGGGAGGGTCGAAGATCGATGCTGTTGGGTCCTCCGCCCTCCCCGCCCTGTCCTGGGAGGTGCTGCGACGGGCTGCCGCGATGCGGAGCCCCTCACGCTCGTCATGTTCCACCGCCCCGGCACCAGCATCGGCAGGCAGAGGACCGCTTGGATCTCACACGGCCGCCGACGAGACAAGCTCGAACAGGGCTCGGATTCCATTCCCTGCGTCCTGGCAGGTCCACACCACGGAGGACACGAGGTACGCGTGTTCGAACAGGGCGCCGCTTTAGCGCCGCTTGGATCTCGCACGGCCACCGACGAAACAAGTTCGAACAGGGCTCAGATTCCGCCCTCTGCGTCCTGGCAGGTCCGCACTGTGGAGTCCTCTGGGCTGCCCCTCGGCACTGCCCCA